AACAACAACAACCACGACTTTTAGAGTAGTCCGCACACGCAGTGACATTGTCAGGTAATGAACAATTAATAAAGGGGGCGCCTATTGAATAGCTAAGCCCCGAGGCATGGGCATATATACACTCGCTTCCTAGCGTTAGCATTGAATTTTAAATTTAACACGAAATAGTTTACGATAGCAATTTACTTAAACTAAAATAGTATTTATATTAAAAATAAAAATGATATCAAATAAATTTATTTAAATTATGTTCAGGTATTTAATAACATTTTATTTATAATTTAGTATAAAAACTTTAATAAATAACTTTAAATAATTACTTTAATTAATTGATTGCAGCTCTAGAAGTCTTCTTTGACATGCTCTATGCATACCCATAAAATATGCTCCATAAAATGGCATTCATTTCAAACGGAATAGTTATTACGCCTGGGCTTTGATCTATTTAATTAGATTGTGAGAGAGTTTTACTTTAAAGAACACGCTTAAGAGCCCCAATATCCTTAAATACTTTGTTTTATGGGACTAAAGTTGCAATAAAAATTAATATTAAAGCTCGAATCCAACTCAACCAATATCAATGAATCCTTTTGCTGCCGCCACTGACTAGCCAAAACAAGAGACCAGACCTGACCACAACCCAAACAGACCCCAAACATAAGTGCGTTAATAGCACATAGATACACACACACATACACATTAGAGTGGCAGAGACGTTGGCCTCATCTTTCTACAAGCGTCTTCACTGTGGAGGCCGAGGAAATCGCAGCCACCGCCGAAGCCGAAGCCGAAAGCCGCCTGGCTGAGAGCAGCAACAGGCAAAACGCGCCTTTTACAAATTTTTATTGAAAAATATTAAATTCTCATTAAGGCAACGAAGCAGGTTCAGTCTCCAGTTCCCAGTGCCGAGTCTGGTAAAAACAGACAGCATCATTTTCCACACACACACACACACACACACACACACATACTCACACACACCCAAACGGAGGAGGCTTTTTCCTGCTGCTGCTGCCTCGCTCCAAGTTGAATGTTGGCGCGCGCGCGCATGCGCCGATAGACTCGCTTAGATAAAAGATGATTTATGGGTTTTATGGTGTGATGGGAATTTTAATTTAAGCATTTTTGCTAACAAAATTAAAAGAAAAGGCAGCAGCAGCAGCAGAAGCAGCAGCATCGGGCGGAAAAACAAAACGGTCTGTAGCTGCAGAGCGTTGACCATTGGCCATTTGCCTCTATTAGGCAATTGCCAATTGTCAAATGAGGCAGCTAACGTGGCCCAGACCATTTTTAATTGAGCCAATGCGCACAGCATGTCGCAGTGGGCCACATAGCCACACAGCATTGCCGTCAACAGCAGCCAGACGGCCAACTGTCCATTATGCTCACTCACCTGTAAAATAAATGGCAAAACTGCCAACACTTTGGCAACGCGCTGACAACTCTGAGGCTCACGCGGCGGCAACGGCGGCAACGGCGGCGTCGACGGCACAAAGCTGAGAGGCCAAGGCAGAGACTCTGCTCTGACTGCTCTGCAACTGCGGCTGTTCCAATTTAATGCAGAAGCTAAAAGGCAAACTGCGACGGGGGCGATTGTGTGACTGCGATCTGGCTGGCAGTTACCGTTAGGTGTCAAAGATTTCATGCCCCATGTCGCAAAGTAACGACACACAATCGATCACAAATCAAACGGACAGAAGCAGCAGCAGCAGAAACAGCAGCAGCAGCACATAAAGAGTGAGAGAGGGCGACTTGCCGCCGTTGCGACAGTCGTCCAAATGTGTCTCAAAAATCAGGCCGCAAAAGCCGCACAGTTTCATAAATTGCAGGTGACCTGCCGACCAGCAGCGGCAGCGGCAGCGGCAACCAAGAGCCAAGAGCCAGCAAAAAGGCATAACAATAAATTAAAAAATGGCCAACTGTGGCTGGCCTAGGCACACACGAGCTCCAACCGCAGCCTGCCTCCTTGCCCGCCTGCCTGCCCGCGTTGCCTGCCCACCTGCCGTGCGATTTGGTTATTGGAGCGTTTTTTGGCTGATGGACAGCATCGATCCCGAATCCGCATTCAATTGCCGATCGGCGGCTGCAACTCCAAGTGGCAGGCAGCGTTTGATGGACACGTTTGCTGATGCATAGCTGCAACTTTATTGGCTTTTAATGAGCTCGCCATGTGTGTGTCTCTTTCTGCCTCTGTGTGTGTGTGTGTGTGTGTGTGTGATTCATGTCAAGGCTACTATGCATGCAACAAGGCTCTTAAATATTTAGTTTAGAGCGGTCTAAAAATACTTTTTTTTTTAATTTTTATTTTTCCTTTCATGTTCATTAATTGACGCATAAAAATGTTTATAGCTCTTGCACAATGTTTTTTTTGCTACATTCTCTCATAAAGTTTTTAAGTTTTAGACAAATAAACTCAATGTACTGTATTTTTATATTATATTTGTAGTATAAACAAAAGTTGTGTAAAAAGAATATTATTGAAAAAATATTATTTAGAAAAGAACAACTTTTTTAACAATTTTAACAATTGTTAAAAATATCAAAAAGTTTCTCGTGATCATTTCTCTTTCTTAACGATCAACGATTTTTTAGAACGGCACTTCAATTTTAGTATGTATTTTTAACATTTTCTCTAGTCGAATGTATGTATGCAACATTACCATGGAGATAAAGTGTCTGCAAAGGTAACTAATCAAAGCTTGACATGTTAAAAATGTATGTTATTAAATTGAATATCAGAAGACACTAATATGATATAGTAAAAACAAACCCCTAAATTTTTTTTAATACCTACCATGAGAATAAAGTGCCTTGCAAATATTACCAATCAAATCATTATCTGCTAAGAATGTAGGTTCCCAATAAATTGAAAGTCTGGCGTATAAGATCGTTAAAAATCTTTAAGTTCAGTTCAATTAGTTATCATGGAGATAAAGGGCCTGGCAAATATTACCAACCAAAGCTTGACCTGTTTATAATGTATATTCCCTTTAAATTGATAAATAGCGTATTAAATCACAATTAAAAACCCTAAGTTCACTTTAATTATTTGCCTTGAGGACATAGTGCCTGGCAAATATTACCTATTAACGTTGAAAATGTGTTTTATGTTTTCCTAAATTAAATAGCATAAATCTTGCATATTTTAAACATAATGAGCTACAGCTAAGTTCACATTAAATATTTACCATGAGAATAGAGTATCTTGCAAATATAACCAAACAAAATACACTGTTAATCGAAATGAAGTTAGTAATTATGCATCCCTTAAATTACAAGTTTTTAAAAAATATTGCTTCCCTGTAACTATGATCTCCAGCTATCGAAAATAAATGAAGAAGTCAACTATTGCAAAAATAATACGAAGAGTACTCGTCTGCAGAATTATTGCCCTCAGTGTCGATAGATGCTCGTTTGTTTACTTTTACTCATTTGCATGCTGCGGGTCATTAAACCTGGCGTCAGCCTCGCCAAGATGACCTGACCAAAAGGCATATTCGTTAGACATACAATCAGACATAGGAGTAGTATATTAATTAACCCGAAAAAACCGGTATGTTATATATGTCTAACCTTTATGCTAAACGCGGCCCCATCGAGGCGGCAACGGCAACGGCATCGACGTCGACTTCGACTTCGGCGTCTTCAGCGGCAGCAGCGGTAGCTACTGTCTGTCGGTCGTGTTTATTATTAATTTACCAATAAATTGCCGCTGCGTATACGTAATATTTCACAATTTTAGCTTAATGATCGAAACGTTATTCATGCACTGATTTCCGCTGCAGGTGTCATCGCGAGGGAAAGAGATGGGAGCAGAGCCGGCAGCTGCTCTAACCAGTTGCGCGTATTAGCAAAAAGCCAATCCAAGGCCCGCATTGAAATTACAAATGACGAGAAATTTGTCATCTTTATTATTGCAAACAACGCGCGCGCACAGCCGACGACAAACGACGACAATGCTCCCCTGGACAATTGGCGGGTGCGTGCCGGTGCTGGACCCCAATCCATGGGGCCGGGCCAGGTCGGGCACTGTGTCCAAGTGCCGAGGCCAGAGCTGCCTGCGCACAGACACAAAGGCCGCGGCTCCGGTTGCCGTTTGCCGTTTGCCGTTTGCCTGTTGACAACTTGCCACACATCTTTGGCTAAGCTCTGGACTGCGAACAGTGGTTAGTGGCTAGTGGCTAGTGGCTAGTAGCCGGTGGCTAGTGGAGTGGACAGGGACAGCCACTTGGTAGCCATTGTGCGCTCAATTGATTTTTCATTTAAATGAAAATCCACAGCGGATTTGGACCCGGCCTGTTGTGTGGCTTAATGAGCTGCCCGTTTCTTGTTATTGTTCAGCTTCAGCTTCAGATTCAGCCACGAGCAAATGTGTTTGTTAGCCTCTCAGCATGTGTGTGTACATATCATATACATATACACATAAAGTGTGTGTGTGTCGGTGTTTTATGGTACAAAAACTTTTTATTTTATTTTTATTTCAGTTAAAAAAAATATGTAGCTATGTATAAGGTATTGGCGTACAAAAATAATACACTTTGTTCTTTTTGTATTGTTTTTTTTTTATGCTTGCAGTTTGATTTTTTCAGTGTGGTATGTTTAAATCTATGAGGCAGTTGCAGCTCTTCTGTTGTTGCAGTCGTTGCACGAGTATGCGGCATGCTGTTTGGCCAAAAGAATTTATCGACTCCGATCTGTGCTTATAAGCTTTACAGTCCAAAGCAAGTTTAATTAAGAGCTAACAAGGGAGCAGCTAATTTCAACGGGCTACTGAATAAATATTAAGCTGGCATTGAAATAAAACATGGATAATCTGATTTGAGCTTTAAAAGATTAGAAAAATTTACATAAATTATGAAAATTACAAATGAAAAAGAAAACAAATTAACATTTAACTAAACAATTGTCATTGAAAAGAAAATATTAAAAAATTGCCTATTTTTTGAGAGCTATTTAATCTGTTGTGCATGCAAAATATAAAACGATATCAATTTGGACAGGTAAAAATGTTCACTTTATTTGTGTGTTTGAGAAGCGAAAAGAAAGGCGCTTAATTACACTCACGTAAGTAAGATACATATTTATAGCATATATTGTATATCTACTGTGTTTTTTTATGTATAAAAATATTTTATTGTGGCAATTATAAAAATTTCAAAAGGCCTTTTCGAGATGAGTATAGAAAAATTGACAAATGGTATTCATGGTTTTATGTGTCTTAGCATATTGGTCATTCTCTTGAAATCTGTTTAATGTTCCAGATTTTTGTGGTTTTTGAAATAAAACATAGACTGCAATGCAACTGCCATAACGTATGGTACAAATGTATATAAGTATATAAGTAACTATATGAGAATTTATTATTATCGTATGATTGTCATTTATAAATATTGCTGCCTCTTGTGTTTGTCTGATTTTTGTTTGTTGTCTTTATCTATTCTCGGTTATTTTGTTTTTGTATAAAATTTTCTACTTAACATCCAATATAAAAATTTGAGCTAAAATTAGTTAAACCTTATTACTGGCTAATGTATAATCGATATGTAAAACGTATCTCGTTTAGTATATGTACACACAAGTTGCTAGCACCAATACAAATTTATTATTATAAAGGCATACTAACCATATCAATATCAATATCAATATCAAATATCCATATATCAATATATTAAATATGTATATAAATATAGTATTTCTTTTGTTTTTAGGTAGTGTAGTAGTAAATTGTCATTATACTCGTAGTACCGCTTGTTAACTTGGCTTCTTGAAGGCAACGTCTGCTTAGGTGATATCAAAAAATTTTACAAATTCTTTTTCCATTAATTACTGGCTACATTCTTACTGCTAGACTGGGCTTTGAGCCCGCTTACGGATCTAAATTGAGCTACTTAAGCAATACGACATACAAACTGAACGAAATGATGCATGAAACAGTGTTTTATAAATAATAAGGAGAAAACGTCAAAACAAAAAGGCCTCATTGGGGCATTTATTTTTTTTTTCTATATATGATGCTGTTGTGGGCGTGGCGTGGCTTGGCGTGGCTATAGTGAGTATTTTCCATATGGCCTGCGGCTCAGTGGCGTCGCATATGCAGCGATAGATGATCGGAGCGACTGAAACTTCGGGTGCAGAGCTGACAGCGAAAGGGCTTGACGCCCGTGTGTTTCCTGTAGTGGCGGGTCAGCTCGTCGGATCGGGCGAAGCGCCAGATGCAGCCTTCCCAAGTGCACACATACGGTTTCTCACCTGCAAGTAGAACGTTGAAAATTGTACAGTTTAAATGGAACAGTGAAAGTGACACAGTTCAAATGGTACATCAAAAATGAAACAGTGAAAATTTAAAGGCAAAAATGTGGAAATGGAACTGCTATTTTAGAGCATTTAAATAGAAACGAAGTGATAAGCTGGAACGCAACAGCGGAACACATAAATTTAACATGTAAAATGGGAACAGTGAAAATATATTAAATACAGAATGAATATTGAATTGTGAGAATAGAACAGGCAAAAAGTAACCGTAAAGTTAATTTCGGATAGGGAAATGAAGCACTTTGAAAAATTAAAGAGACAAAAGTTGTATAAAAAGAAGCACAACTAACCCAAGCGAAAGATTCCAACAACATTTTGAACTCCTTTCGCCCAAGACTCACCTGTGTGCGTGCGTTTGTGCGCCTTGAGATGCGAACTTTTGGTATAGACCTTGTCGCAGCCCTCGGTATCGCACTTGTGTACCTTGCGGTTCTTGGAGAGATCATTGTAGCCGCCGCCATTGGACGCGGCATCACGACTGAACGAGGCGCCGCTGCCCGCACCGCTGCCGCCAAAGTTGATGCCGCTGAAGCTGCTGCTATCCTTGCGGCTGCCACCACCGCCGCCGCCTAAAGCCATGCCCCCAAAGGCGGGATTCAGTGCCGCATGCGGCGAGCCCGCGCCCGCATAGCTCTTCCAGCTGGGCGCGCACACGCCGCCAGCTGTTGCTGCTCCGCTGGCAACTTTGCTGCTGCCGCCGCTGCTGCTCGTCGTGGAGCATTTGCGTGCCGCCGTTTGGGCATCGGCGAACTTGTACGGATTCTTGAATAGGCTCAGCAAACTGAACTTGCGATCGTAGTCCTGCATGAGAGCGCTGCTGTTGGCGCTGTTGCTGGCGCTGTTGCCGGTGCTGCTGCTGCCGTTGTTGTAGCTGCAGCTGTTGTTGTTGTCCTCCTGTTTGCTGATGCGTCGATACGTGAAGAAGAATGGCGATGCGGCAAAGAATGGCGAGAATGGCAACTTGGAGACGCCGGAAGCGTACAGCTGCTGCTGCTGTTGCTGCTGCTGCTGCTGCTGCTGCCGCCCAAAGGCGCCCAACGTGGAACCGGCACCAGCTGCATAGCCGGCGGCGGAGGATGAGCAGCTCGCCTGCTTGCCATTACTGTAGTTACCGTTGTTGTTGCTGCTACTGCCGATGCTGCTATAGGCCTTGCTGCTGGCGGCTGCTTTGGTGGCGGATTTGCTGTTGCTGTTGCTGCTGGTGGCGTGTGAGGTGCTCGCTGCAATTGTAAAGGCAATTGAAAGTCAGTTAAACAAAATGGCCAACTGTTGAGTTTTTTATGGTCGCAAAAGCTTAATGAGACTCGTTAAATGTGGCCGGGTATTGGCATAAAAATCAGCTTAGCTTTAGCCAAAGAGCACCATTCAGTTGAGCCGAGGCGAGGCGAGACGAGGACGAAAGGAGACGAGACGAGACGAGGCAGTCGCCATCAAGTCAACTCAACTGTCTGGAACACTTTGCCTTGTCAGTTAACAGTTGTACACAATTTCCTAATTTTGCTGGCCCGGCATAGCCTGGCCTGGCCGAACCGAGCCGAGCCGGGACCTGGCGGACCGACTCATTGCATCAAAAACGTTTGCATGTCGCGTATTTTATGGGCCCCCAGACAGGCGGACAGACGTTGGCGACAGACGGACATCAAATCCGTGCAGTCGTGATCCATTTAACCTGTACTTGAGCGGCGCCGATTGCCAGCCGTAGCAAGTCGGCCCGTCAGCCCGTCAGCCCGTCATCCCGTCAGCTCCGCGCTCACACACGGCCCCAACACAGGGACAAGTGTGTCGATTTTGGCGCCCGCGACATCAATTGCCAACAGCAGCAACAGCAGCAGCAGCGGCAGCAGCTGCCACAACGGCAACCGCTGACTGCAGTTGCAGTTGCCACGATGCCTGCCTGACGGCTGCCAATTTCCACTGGTAACTGCACCCAGCCCACCCCCTCGCTGCCGCCCAGTGCCCAAACAACTCTCTCGCTTCTTTGGAGCCGCTTCTTGCAAAGGGTCCGCCGTGCTCCATATGAAAGTTTGCTCTGTGCCACGAAGCACTTGACTTGACTGGTTTCCACAAAATGATCAAGAGTGCAATTGTAGAATGGTGCGCTGCATATTTCATAGTTCCGATTGAATAATGAATATTGATCAGGCGGGCAGCCTGGTCTTAGGTAGGTTTCTTAATAGAATCATTGAATATTTTAGTTTGTAAATAGCTAATAGAATCATAAATTATTAGTACTTTTACACCTTGATGTCTTTCAAGTTAGGCGAGAGAATTAGTTCCATTTGTGTGTAAATTGAGAGCTCAAACATTAAAATTGTACTCAAAACTCTTCATGAATTTCATATTTTCTTAAAACGTGCCCAGCCTAAGATTGAGAGAATGAAGTCTCAACTATCTTAAAACATATCATCAGATTGTATAATATGGATAAAGTGGTATAAAAACATGTTTTGATACATTATTATTTTTTTTTTGATAATATTTATTATGAAACATTCCTAGGTTATATTTTCGTGAAAGAAAAAGTGGTTAAAATTTGTAAACATTAAAAAATGTTGTTCTCAGGTTTAAATTGTTATAAATTGACTTTTTGCCATTGTATGACTGCATTTTATTATCTTAAAAGTTGATCAAAATGTAATTAATTCCTTTGTATCAGCTAATCATTACTTGTCTTTTTGCTACTTTTTTACCACCTTCCATTTCTTCATCTCTTTGTTTTCAATTTCTTTGGTGCCATTTCTACTTCACAACATTGGCAAATTTCATTGAATGACGAATATTCCTGTTTTAGCCTTGGCCCTATACATATTAATGAATGCCAAATGGACTGAACACTACGAATTTATACGAACTGTGTTGGAATTTTATAGTTTGGCAAGATATCCGATCGACTTAACGAAACTATGTGCATATTTATGGCCCATTTACATTGTTATAACTTTATGTTCCTACGCTTATCATTTGAATATAGTTTTATTTAAATAAAAATTTGCTTAATTGTTCAATCTGGTTTTGGCTTTGCCTTACGTTCTTTTTGCTTTACCGTTATTTATTGTAGAGTATTCATTTTTGAATAGTTTTGCTGGGATAATCTGCTTAGACTCAGTCTGAGAAACTGTGACTCATTAGTTTACATTAACATGTAAAAAAATATATAGTTAAATAAATAAATAAGAACAAAAATCAAATAAAATAAACTAAACTGTGTACTTTACTTAGATATTGAGCATATTACCAAATCCCTACATAAATATTAAGACATTATTTTAAAAATACCAAAGAATTTAATTATTATTATAAAATTCATCCCAAAATCTACTTAAATACGTGAAATATTTCAAAACAAATTTAAGATTATTCAAAATGTTTAACTTTGATAAAAATTCCAGTTGCCCAAAATTAGACAAAAATTTATTGCGATTGAAAAAACTAGATTAATCGAATTTTAATAAAATAAAATATATTTACTATTATAAGGAAAAATAGGTTATATTTCAAGTATGAAATATAGAAATATTGGAAAATATTTTTAAAATTGTTTTTGCGATATTTCTAATATTAAAAGGATTTTTCTACTTTAGCTGGCTCTAGATTCTAGATTTCCTATGTATTAATCATAAAATAATGTAATGAGAAACATTTTTAATTAAAAGACAAGAATCCAGGAATATTTTTTAAATAATTTAATATACTTTTTTATATATATAAAACTATGTTTACTATTCCATAAAAATATTTAAAAAATGTTTGCCATACTTCTTGCATACTTTGTAATTTTGCAATATTTGTATTTTTTATTTTTCATACATTTTTCATTTATAGCGCGTGATTCCCTTCTCTGCGGCTACCGCTTTCAATTTTCACTTGTTAAAGCTCTTCTCGTTTTGGCTGCCTGTCGCCGTTAGTGTTATTGTTGTTGCAGTTGCTGTTGTTGTTGTTGCAGTTGTTGCTTGCTGCCAAACTGTACGAGTGACCCATGCTTAAGTGCTTTGTCTGAGGCCCCCTGCAACAACATGACCGAGGGCCACAACAGACTCGGCCGCTCTGACTGAGCTGATGCTGACGCAGCTGACCGTCAACGCGGGCCTGTGAAATGGTCGCCCGGTCGCCGGGCTGGCCGGTCGCTTGTTTTAGCCTCAAGTGCTTCAAGTGCGTTAGAGCCAAGTCTGTCTACACATGCGCCCAGACCGGGAACTCGGACCTCTGAGACGGTTGTTTGCGGCTCTTACTGATGCATTTGTAATTTCCATGCCAGCATTTGGCTGCACAGCGCCCAAGGTAGCAACAGCCCCGTAAATGTGTGTGTGTGTGTATGTGTATCTGAGAGACTGCCCCGTCTCTCGTGTTATTAAAATTGATGGCATTTAATTGAACTGGCCATCAACGTCAGCCCACAGTGCCGTTTGTTGCCGTTTCTTTGCCATTTAGCCATATTGCGGTGTGTTGCCCCATTTGCAATTGCGCCGCTTAGAAGGGAGCATTCATTTGGCTTTGGCTTTTGGATGCGAATACATATGCTAATGCGCATTATGTGGCGGCAGCAGCAGCACCCAAGCACCCAGCAGCAGCGACAGCCAACAGCAGGCGACTGACTGTCATATATTTTGTGTCCAAAAAATGTCCATTCTCCGGCACTCAGTGCGCATATAATCACCGCTTTTACCGAAATGCACACGCTGACTTCATATTTCTGCCAATTTAGTGGCGGTGGCCCGGGCCGCGCGTTTAGGCGACCCAGAGATTTGAAATCACACTTGTGCCTATTGCCAAAGTGGTGCAATAAAAAAAGTGAATGTTGCCCCCGAGTGGCACACACACACACACTCATACACACACCCATACATACACAACAGATGCACATACGTGGCCAGAGTAAGTCAAGTTAGCAGCCATGTGGCAGCTCCTTTGGCGCGTCTTCAAAATGGTTGTCTTGGCCATAAACTGCTCATTTGACTTTGGCTGCGAGCTTGATAGTTGGGAGCTGCTAGCTGCTAGCTGGGAGCTCTGTGCGCGATTGCGTTGAACGTGCCGCCCGAGCAGCCAGCGATAATTATGATGAGGCTGACGACCAAAGCCAAAGACTGCAACCGGGTTGCCAGCGCCCAGCGGTGCTGTGCGGTGCCTGCAATGCGGATCTCGCACCAAATGCGACTTGTTGGCAAAACCAAACAATAAATTACAAAAACAGTTGATAGGGTTTAATGTGCACTTGGTGTGCGATTGGTTATAATTGACAGTTCGCTTGGCTGGCTGGCTGGCTGGCTGCCTAGCTGGCTAGCTGACTGTCTGTCTGGCGACGTGCTTCGCTGAACCACTGCACCACCACCACCAGCACCACCACTGCAGCAGCAGCAGCAGCAGCACCACCACCACCAACCAACTCGTCGTTATGTCTGTTACGTTTCTTGGCAGTTAATTGCCAGGCGCGCGCACATTGATTTACTAGTGGATTTTTATATAAAACTGTCGTATTTAAGTTATAATTATGAAACAACATGGCGTATGAGCGATGCCGATCACACACTCTCACACACACACACATTCGCACACACACGCACACAACACTTTCGGCGTTAGCACATCTGAATTTATGGCATTGCGCATACGCCGTGGGGGCAGCTAACCTAAGCAACGCCGCCAGGCTTTATAATACACACAAGCACTCGCATGCTTTTATTTTTTATTTTTTTTCTTTAGCCATTTTTCACACTCTGCGGGCGTCTTTTGAACCTTGAAATAAAAGTTTCCCACACTTGCGATAGAGCTGGGCAAATGTTTCGATTTTCCTTTTGGCTTTGCTATCTATCTTAGCCGAACGCTGACTCCTAACTCTTAACTCTTAGCTCCTAACGCTGACTCTGACTGGCTGGCTGGCTAATCCAGCGCCTGATTCCCAGCCAGCCCAAAATGGTAACAGACGTAGACTTTGTGGCAGCAAAAAACTAATGAGCAACAACAACAACAGCAACAACAACAACAGCAACAGCTACAAACACTGGCGAATGCAAACTGCACCTGCCAAACGGGCAAACAAACAGCCAACAACAACAACAACAACATACATTTGAGAAGAACATTTTTGGACTATGCAGCACGAATTTTAAACACTCTGCTAAATCTTGCTGCTTGGCTTTTGAGTGGACAAAAGCTTAAGTTAACAATCAAAAATGAAGACAATAATTATTTTGATATTTTATGGCATTTTAAAGTATTTTTCTTC